GCTCTAGGCAGGCCGTGTGGCCCCAGGGAAGCGCTGCTGTGAAGCCAAGGAGGAAGAAAGGAGGCGGGAGCAGGCCCCTTGTCAGCTCTCCTGAGGGGAGCTCGGGAGAGGCAGGTAGTGCCGCCGAGCTGCAGGCGCGGGAGGAGGGCCCCGGCAAAACGAGAGGCGAGGCCGTGCGAAGCAAGTCACAGACTGGCGTTTCACCTGGTAACTGATGACATTTTGGCATCTTGCCTTTCTGTGCGGAGAGAGGGAGCCTGCCTGCAGCACCCGCTGCCGAGGCCTGCCACGGAGTACCCGCAGGACCAGGAGGAGCAGCCTGCATCGCAAGGCCCTGTCCCTCACGACTGAGGCAATGATACCGTGTAACCTATTCAGTCGATTTATAAATATATATATATATGTGTGTGTGTGTGTATATATATATTCAGGAACTCTATGAGAAGGTGATTCTTCAGAGTATTCAAGAGCTGCTTTCTGCCTCATCTAACATTTGTCAAAAATCATGAAAGAGCTTGGCGGGTTAGAAAGTTGCATATTAAAGGAGTGTGAGTTTAACCCAGGGTGAAAGCACCTTAACTTCGGAATGCAACTGCAAATGGTAAAAGGGTATTTATGTGCAAATAGAATTGCACGTGCCCGTTGTGAGAAATGCAGAAATAAAACGCACTCTTTACAGAGAAAATCCAGTGAACTGGATGTGTATTTGGCCTCAGGCACCAGAAACTGCCCGAGATAGTACTCTACACATGCTGCATTTTGTTGTGCAATTATTCATTTCTTTGTGGTGTCTGCATGCCTGTGTGTTCCTTAGAAGCATCCAAACTTTCCCCAAACGGTAGAAGGTGAATCTTAAATACTGAAAATGTGTATCTACTTAGTGCTTTACTTTGATATCACACTTTTTCTTGCAGAGTAGGGAAATACTTTAGCTACAGTAATTTTACATATTATTTGTAGTGCTTATGGTGGGCAGACTAGTTCAGCACAAATTATGGACTAATATTCATGTTGGCTGTTTTTTTGTTGGCACGGTATTGTCTGCAACAGTACTTGGGTGGGAATCGGAGCGAGGAGAGGTCCAAGAGGCAGTCAAGGCAGATGTGAATTTAAAAAAACTGGCTTTTAGTTTGACATCTACGTGTTTTTATTTCTCACTTCCCCACCCCTTGCCAATAAGGTGTAAAGAACAGTTAGTGTTCATGTTTCTGCAAAGTGATATTGATTAGAGCGGAAGATCAGTTATGTGTAGCTGGAGTAGAAACATATTCTTTAAGAAGTATCATTGGATCTCTAAAAGCTATGTAAAAGGTTAGACTGTGAGGAGCTGCAGAGTGCTGTCAGTGTAGAAAATGGCTCATGTTTTGCAGACAAGAAAAGGATTTGAGGTAGTTATGGCTGGATGGATTTCAGGCATAGAATCTGTTTCAGGAAAACTTGAACTAGCAAATGCAACTGCTCTTCCACTTTTGCTTAGATTCTTTCATTGCCTCTGTTTGGCGAAGTGTCAGTGCAGGCTGCTGGATTGCTGATAATCCTCACAGCATAGAGAAACTCGTAGATGCTTCTGGTGACATAATACGCAAAAATTCAGTATTTGAACGAGGCAGATTTTATCTATGGAGAACGGCCATGCTGAATTAAACCAAAGGTTTATCTATCTGCTCTTGTGCCTGCCAGTAGCAAGTAGTGGATTGCTAGGGAAAAAGTTAAACAATCCAGGAAAAGATTTCTCATAGCATACCTCCCAGATGCAGGCATACGTTGGGCCATCTGCAATTTAGGGAATTGCTAAGCTGCTGGCTGTAGCCTCATCTTTGCATTTAATAGTCTTGAGAGGCTCTTCGTCTGTTAATTACTTTCAATTGATGTAATCATTTGCTGAACTCTTGTATACTCTTGCTCCCACGGCATTTTGAGGCAGAGTTTCACATTTTTTATGATGCAGTGTACAAAATGGTTTTGTCACGAGTGATCATTTAATGGAATTCTCCCAATTTTCCTGTTTTGAGCTGTCATGAGAGAGTGTTTTTGCAGTTGCTCTCTCCAGGCCAGTTGTGATTTCCCTGTCCAGGCAGCCTCTCTTCCAGGCTGAGGAGTGATAGTCACTTCAGTATTCCTTTTACAGAAGTTATTGACTGTCCTTGTGCCTGATCTTCACACCTTACTGTATTCTGCTATATTGTCTTGAAGAATTATTGTGGGCAAATTAGCATGCAAAATACGATGCTCTAAAAAAAGTCATTGGTCCCATATAGAGTCAGGACTCATTGGGATCCCAATCAGGAGATCTTGGAGCTATGCCAAGGGCCCAAAAATTCCGTAGTTAACATTTCATGGTTTGGTGCGGTGCCAAGCTATCAGTTTATAGACCAGACTACACCTGTCATTCTCCAGTTCCCTTTAAAGTACAGCTTTAATATTGATTGTGCACCAAAATACAAAAGCCAACTCGCAGTGTATTTGGTCCACAGACACCCTGCCTCCCCCCATCCCACTGCCAAAAATTGGCGGCATATTTGTTTGCTGTCCAGACACAGTTGCCAGAGCAGAAAGGGGAGACTGGGCTACTTTTTCCATGCTTGTCTGCCTGGATGTATTAGTCACGATTTGAAGGAATATATTGACATCTGGGTCTTGTAAAAAGGTATGCTCTTTTTGTGGCTTTGAATTTGCTTATGAACCTGGCCCTGAAAAATAAGGTTATTTATGAGCACTCCGTTATATTTGTTATTTTGTTCCTATCCTCTCAGATAGGAATATGGAAATATACCTACGTATTTTTTTGTCCTATTTTGCTATTTAAAAAAAAACAAAGACATCTTGAAGTGAAAACAATAAAGGTTACTGTATAGAGAAGCTGGTGAAGTATGGGCTGGATGGGCGGATAGTGAGGTGGATTGAAAACTGGCTGAAGGCCAGGCCCACAGGGTGGCAGTCAGTGGAACGAAATCTAGTTGAAGACCAGTAAGTAGCGACGTACCTCAGGGGTCAGTACAAGATCTAGTGCTGTTCAACATCTTCATTAATGATCTGGATGATGGGGAAGAGTGTACCCTCGGCAAGTTTGCTGATGGTAGGAAACTGGGAGGAGTGGCTGATACTGGGAGATCGTATCAATGTTTATAAATACCTGAAGGGAGAGTGACGGGACAAGAGGCGATGGGCACAAATGGAAACACTGGAGGTTCCCTCTGAACATCAGGCAATACTTTTTCACTGTGCGGAGCATTGACGGAGCACTGGCACGGGTTGCCCAGAGAGGTTGTGGAGTCTCCCACCTTGGAGATACTCAGAAGCTGTCTGGACATGGTCCTGGGTAACTGGCTGTAGGTGGCCCTGCTTGATTCCATGAGACGAACCAGGGTTCTTCAATCATTATTTCGAAATGACGAAAGAATTGTAGCGGCTTGATGAGAAAGATGTGGGGTTTTTTTTTTTAGTTTGTTTCACAGAAGTTGTGTGGGTTTATCCCTTTCACTGTTCATTTGTATTTTCTAAGTTTGGCAGTTATCTAGATGCTTCTGTAATGTGAGTAGGCTTGAGAGACCAAGGGAAGGCCTAGCATGACTTCATGTGAAAAATCCATGTAAATGATTTTGTGACGTGATTATGCAGTAGATGGTCAAAAGGTATAATACTGATTAATTTGAAGATCTGCGTGAATGGCTTAAGCTGTGTTCTGTTGACAGCCCCTTCTATGCCTTTTTGTTCCTTACCTTCTTCCAGCTCCAGTGCTGGTCTGTGCTGTGCTGAGTTGTTTCAACGCTAAAGACCTAGGTGAAGAAAAACAAACGGGTAGCTTTGTTCCAGGTTAGCAGGCTGAAACGGCTTGGCAGAGCATCTGGTAAGCATTGGGCTATGCAAGAGAGGCTTAGGGGGGCACGGGTTTCGTCCTAGGAGGTGCTGTTGCAGTCATATGTCACGGATATTTGCGCAGTTGATGAGAATGTGGAACCACTGGAGAAAAGGGCCTTGCCTCAATGGGCAACACGACCACTAAAAACTCTGTGATAACCACAGTTTTAGAGAGGAATGAATGCTGTTGCTAAGTTGCAGAAACATTGTATGGTGAAGTAGGGAACATAATAAAACAGTAAAAAGGCATTTTTAGCTGAATGGGTATAAAGTAGAGCAGATGTAAAGAGTATACAGAACTTTGCATCCAAAGAAGAGCAACAAAGCTGGTGAAGGGTCTAGAGAACAAGTCCTATGAGGAGCGGCTGAGGGAACTGGGGTTGTTTAGCCTGGAGAAAAGGAGGCTCAGGGGAGACATTACTGCCATCTACAACTGCCTGAAAGGAGGCTGTAGCCAGGTGGGGGGCCAGTCTCTTCTCCCAAGTACCAAGTGACAGGACGAGAGGAAATGGCCTCAAGCTGCGCCAGGGGAGGTTTAGGTTGGATATTAGGAAAAATTTCTTCACCGAAAGGGTGGTCAGGCACTGGAACAGGCTGCCCAGGGAAGTGGTTGAGTCCCCATCCCTGGAGGTATTTAAAAGACAGGTAGACGTGGTGCTCGAGGACGTGGTTTAGTGATGGACTTGGCAGTGTCAGGTTTACGGTTGGACTCAATGATCTTAAGGGTCTTTTCCAACCTAAATGATTCTATGATTCTATACCTTTGGAACTTTGGGAAAAAAACTTCTGCAAGCAAGTTAGTACCTTACTCATTTCCCTTACTCCTCTTACAAGATACTGTATGATACCGAAGGTAGATGCTTTTATTGGCTCCTTTTTCCTACTCAGCTCATATTTCTGCTGTTTTTCTTGGCTTACAAACAGAAGTTTAGTAGCAAAATTGTGTTAATTTAAGATAGAATGCATTTCTTTATATCGTGAAGAGACATTTAGGCAGCGGAAGGAGCCAAAACTGCCCATTTCTACTCTCTCTTTCATTTGACCATTTATTTTGGCTTTTGGTACTAATTAATAGTCTCTTTCATGTTTCATCAGGCCAGCACTAAGAACTTAATGCATTTATTATGTCAAATGAGTATGTATCTATATTCGTTAGTCTGCATAGTTTACTTTCAAGAGTCCAGAGTGTGTTGATATATGTACCTTTCACTGTAATGAGAAAAAAAATTGTCTAAATGCAGCTAGATAGCAAATGCTTTCATGTAAAACTCTCAAGATGATCTTCATACACAAGGATTCTTATTTTCCTAATACCATGCCTACCGACATATACTGACTGCTTACAAGTGGAATCTGCAAAAGTGAGAGTACAACGAGGTAGGTGCCAAAAACCTGCAGTAAAAAGTTGTGAGGAGCGCATGTGGCTTGAACTTTGACTTCAAACAGAAGTCCACTTGGGGTCGACATGCCTAAAATTTTCCAGGAGTTACATGCAGATTAATTCTAACTCACAAATGCGTAATTCCTTAAATGCAAACTCAGGATATTCAGTCATGGGGTATATGCATTCCAGCCCGAAGACACACGTCGGCTGCTTTTTCATTTTAACATCTGTTGTCAGATGCAGCTTCAGGTTGAGAGTTTTCACCCATCTCATGCAATTTGGAAAATAGAGGGTTGTGCACAAGCATCAATTGCTGTAGCGGCCTACCGTCACTGCAGGGTACAGCGCTCACGTTAGATAAGAAGATGATTTTTATTTCAGTAGCCACAGTTACTGATGTTCCCATCTACCCTTTTTAAGGAATAGAAGCCCTTGTAATATTAGACTGAAATGGAAATATAGCGGAGTGATTCAGAAAGTTTTTTTTCCCTCAGCAGTATTTACCAGACCCCCCCCCCAGCAGCTGAGCTGCATCAACCCAAGGTTTCCTTCAGCATCAGGCATTTGCTCCAGATTTACTTCTGCTGTGATCTTGCTGTCATGCATTACTTTCTTTCAGTTTTCAACACCTGTCACCTGCAGATGATCATCTCCCAGTGCCACTGATTAAGAAAGCAAATAGTGCCAAATACATACATGCATATTTGAAGAAAGGTTTTACTAATGCAAGAGTTTGTATTGTATAAGTTTTATCATTATTGTGCCACAGCAGCAATGGTTCACCAGCATTTTCCTTCTCTTTTTCAGCTTTCTGTATTGCTTTTCCTCGGTGAGAATGGCAAGGATTCGGATTCCTAGCACAATCGTTATACTTTTTGTTACAATTCAGACGGGATTCTTACTCTTCATGTATGCCCGGTACAGTAGCTTCATGCCTCAGTCTGAGGAGAAGCCATCTCAAGTCCACATCCTCATTCTCTCCTCCTGGCGGTCGGGATCTTCTTTTGTCGGTCAACTTTTCAGCCAGCACCCCAGCGTCTTCTACCTGATGGAGCCTGCATGGCACGTGTGGGTTACGATGTACCAGAACAGTGCCAAGGTCTTGCACATGGCAGTGCGGGACCTAGTCAGGTCGGTCTTTCTGTGTGACATGTCTGTGTTTGATGCTTACATGCCTTGGAAAAGAAACTTATCCGATCTTTTCCAGTGGGCAGTGAGTCGGGCTCTGTGTTCAGCTCCTGCTTGTGACTCCTTTCAACGTACTGACATAACCAGTGAAATGGCATGCAAGACTCTTTGTGGACGGTACCCATTCAGCAAGGTGGAGGAAGCCTGTAAAACTTACAGGCATGTTGTCATCAAGGAGGTTCGGTTCTTTGACTTGAAGGTCCTCTACCCCCTTCTCACTGATCCATCCCTGAATCTCAAAATTATTCACTTGGTCCGTGACCCCAGGGCAGTCGTCAAGTCACGGGAACAATCGGTCAAAGCATTAGCCCGTGACAATGGAATTGTTTTGAGCACCAATGGCACTAAAGTAGAAGACAGCAAATACAAAGTAATGCAAGAGATTTGTAGAAGTCATGTTCAGATTTATGAAACGGCTACTCTGAAACCACCTAATTTCCTTAAAGATCGCTATTTAATGATCCGTTTTGAAGATCTGGTAAGAGATCCATTATCAGAAATCTCAGAAATGTATAAATTTGCAGATCTTAGTTTGACCCCCACGCTCAAAAGCTGGATCTATAATATCACACATGGAGAAGGACCAGGAAAAAAGAAAGAAGCCTTCAAAATCACATCTCGAGATGCAGTTAGTGTTTCACAGGCCTGGAGAAATGTTCTTTCCTTCCAGAAAATTAAGAAAATACAGGAAGTTTGCAAAGGTGCTATAAACATGCTTGGCTATCAGCTGGTGGATTCAGAAGAAGAACAAAGAGATCTGTCATTGGATTTAGTGTTGCCAAGACGACAAAATCAATTCAGTTGGTCATCATTTAATCCAAAGCACTGAGACATTATTTTTGAGAGATCTGGGTGGCGGTGGGGGGAGGGGTAGATGGTTGAGTATTTGTGTACTGTGCAGCATATAGCTAATTTGAAAATCCTTGGCTGATGAGTTTAACTATCTTCCTGTCTGCTGTTTTTCCCTAATGGAAGGAGTTTTTTTCTGAGTTTCTTACACCACAAAAATAAAAAGAGGGCATGAGAAATGCTGTGAGATACTTGTCATTGCAGATTTACAGCTGAGCTGTCCTGTTCTCAGCATTCTTTTAAAAATACAATTTAAGTACTTTCTGTTAAAAGATGAATTGTCGAAGATGTCTTTGTTCATTGATAATAGTTCACTTCTGTTTTCATGCTTTAAATATTTAAGAATCTCAGTTCTTGATTTGTATAAATGGAACAAAGTAGAAACTAAATGCCTTCACTTTCTTCCAGAATTGCTTGATTTTATTTTGCTTTAAAGTTGTTGTGCAGTTGTGTATTTTTTTTTTTTAGACTTCTCTTGATGTTTTTAATTTTAATAGAAAAGTTCTTCAAGAGCTGGGGCAACTGCAGCAGTTCTGTTGTAAAAGGCTTAAGCAGGAACTTCATTTATTGATAGATTTCTTAGTGCTTTCCCTGGAATGGCAAGGTTTGCAATCGGATACTTGAACGTGATGTTGGCATGGAGTGCAAAAAGCAAAAGATGAAGAAACTTTGAGCGGAGTCACCATGGAAATAGCGTGTTAATGCCGCCCCAATCACGTGTTCTAACGCTGCGACACAGAGTAGGCACACACTTGCTCCTGCAGAGCGTTTCATGCCATTATCCTCTCTCTTCAGAGCTACAAGTTGTTGTTAATGAAGATCACTGAGAAATTTAACATGCCTTGGAAATCTGCATATTGATTATACTGCTGTGTGGAAGTGATCAATTCAAACAACTTTGATAGCAGAGATGGACACTTGTGTATGGGGGTTTTGTTTGGTTTTTTGTTTTGGTTTTTTTTAATACAGCACATCTCAGGATGGACAGTACATGTTTGATTGATACCAGATAATCCTGTTAGGGCTAATTGAAGAATGTTGTGCTGTAGCTCACTTAGGATGAGCACAAAAGCTCCTCAGTGCCACTACTGTGATCTGCTGTAGGAGATGGATGCTCCTAGCGCTCCAGATGCGGGGAGGTGGGCCCATTGACGCTGTGTCTCCTTGGGGGGAGGGTCTCTAGGGCCACACCCATAGCTTCTGGGGATTTTCCTAAGTGTTCCCAGAGCTATCGTGGGGCCTGTGGAGTCATATTTTTTTTTCTCTTGGTGGCTTTTCCAGCAACTCTGAGGTTGTGCTGGCATCTCTGGTGCATTCCTCAGTTCTTTGGGGGCCATTTGCTTACTCAGGTTATCTGGGGCTTCTTCCTTGTATCAGGGAATCTGGAACTTTTGGGTGGAAAGGGTATCTGGGCTGTTGTCTGTAGCACAGGTCTTTTGGGTTCCCCAGTGCAAGAGAGGCACAGACACACTGGAGAGAGTCCAGTGAAGGGCCACCCAAGGTTACAGAGGGACTGGAGCACCTCTCACATGAGAAAAGCCTGAGAGAGCTGGGACTATTCATCCTGGAGAGAAGGCGGCGGGGGATGCGGGATATCTTATCGATGTATAGAAATACCTGAAGGGAGGGTGTGAAGGAGATGGAGCCGGGTGCTTTTCAGTGGTGCCCAGTGAGAGGACAAGAGGCAATGGGCACAAACTGAAGCACAGGAGGTTCCCTCTGAACATCAGGAAGACTTTTTCACTCTGCAGGTGATGGAGCACTGGCACAGGTTGCCCAGAGAGGTTGTGGAGTCTCCCACATCGGAGGTATTCAAAAGTTGTCTGAACATGGTCCTGGGCAGCTGGCTGTAGGTGGCCCTGCTTGAGCAGGGAGGGGTTGGACCAGATGACGTACATGAGGTGCCTGCCAACGTCATCCATTCTGCAGTTCTGGAGTCACTACTGTCACATCCAGGGCCCTTAGCTACCACAGGCACGAGAAACTTGCCCCAGGCCTCAAGGGCATCCAGAGTGCCTGCTGCTGTACTCCAGCGACAGTGCTCGTGAAGAAGAGGAGCAGGTAATTTTGCACTTATCAGGGCTTTTAGGGCTCACTGGTCATGTTAGGGCAGTGTGACAGTGTGCTTCCCCCCCCCCCCCGACCTTTATGTCCCGTAACCCTGCTCAAGCAATAACCACCAGTGGTGGTCCTAATGGATGCATCTGGTTGTGATGGCTGCATCAGGCTCAAGGTGGATTTGGGAGACAGATAGCAACACAATAGCCAAGGGCTAATTTGAGCAACGCGCTCACCTAACCACAGTGCTGGTCAATGTCTGACTCTAACCAAATTTGGAAGAAACTAAAATCTGTGGTTGGTATGCAAATATGACTATGAGTCAATTCTCTTACCCCTATGAATAGTGAGCAGCCCGAGCCCTTTGAGCTCTCCTGCATATCAGCAGGCTGCACGACAGGATCTCCCCTTGAGTAGGGATGCCTTTCAAGGTTACGGCTGCTGCAGAGGTCCCTTACTCCTCGATACTGAGAGATCCCTTGCTGCAACAGATCCTCGGTAAGCAACTAATAGCTTGCTAAACTTCGTAAGTTTCGTTAAGATTATATCTTAGATTGATTAGCCGCATATAAACCTTTAAACATAAACTGTTGACCAAGTCTAGGACTAAGTTTGGATCCAGCCGCACCTAGACTCCTCTAAGGGAAGGAATTTAGAACACAAGGGGGTCCTCTCTGAACCTCGTGGCTCAACGGGAGGGTCTCCCTAACAGTTTTGTCTGGCCCTGTCCTCTATGCAGTAAATAATCAAGTGTACCTTGCCATTGAATCTTGTTAAACCACTGTCGCATTTACTGTCAAACTTTGTTAAATTGCTGTTTTATATCAATAAACATATTGCTGCTTCTCTCTTAGGAGTGAAGTTCATCACTCCATCCGTGACAGGCAGGGTTGGGGGGCTTGGAGGGACAGTTTGGGAGGGCATCTGAAATGCCCTTGCAGGGTGGAGTGAGGCAGGAAAGAGGGGGTTAGAGTTGGCGGAGGGGGACGACTGCCCTGGTTGGGGTGCTGTGTGCACGTGGGTGCCAGTATCTCGGCTGCTGTGTGTGGCTGTCAGCGTTGCAGGAGCCATGGGGGTGATGGGCTTTACTACACCTCCCCCAGAAAGCTCTGGCTGACAAAGTTTGCCACAACAGAGACTGCAGCTGTCAGCACCACTGAATGCTGATAATGACAGCCCAGGCCTCACGCTGTACTGTCATTTTCCCTGCTACTTGCAATGGACCTGCAATGGCCTTACAGATCCCAAATATCCCTAAAGCCTGCCCCATACCCCCTAGATGCTGCCCCAAAGCTGCCAGCAGCCCCCAAACCCTTCCTCAAAGCTCCTACTGACCCCCAAACACTCCTCAAAGACCCCCTAAATCACTCTTTCCGTTCCTCTGTCTGTGTCCCTATCCCTCTTTTCTTCTCTTGGTCTCCCCATCCTCTTTCTGGATTCCTGTTCCTCTGTCAAGCTGAAGGTCTGGCATTCTTTTGTGTTTTGTCAGGCCTTTGAGGTGCCAAGGGCTGGTGAGTGCTCAGTGGAAATGATCAGCAGTGAATGGAAGGTGGTGTTGATCTGCCTCATTCAGACTAAGTCTAACACCTCTCCAGAGATTTTTGTTGCTGGGGCCCAGGGCTGTGGATGTGCACTGGGGGAGCACCCGTGGGCCAAGACGCTATAGGGAGGGTACGGTTGATAGTGGGGAAGGTGTCAGGAAGACAGAGATCAGAGTCTCTGAGTACTTGGGTGTTAGGGCAGGTGCCTGTAGTAGGGTAGCCTGGAGCTGCTGTTACCATCTGTCTTCTGCATAGGCTGTTATTGCCTCTTGCTCACCTGTGCCTAGACGGGGCTGTCACGTGGTGCAGCTTGACTCAACTCATGAACGCGATGCCGGCACAAAGCCCAGTTTCCTGTTGGATCCATTTTTATGTAAACAGGTATCTTCCTTGCATCGGCCTCATTCTGCTGCTCTTCCACCTCTCTGCAGCAGCAGCTTGCCCTTGACTCAGGCTTTGGGCACGCTGTTCGAGTCACAGGGCTTTCTAGCAGGGTCTCTCTGATTTGAGCTACTTATGTGTGTTAGGCAGCCTATGGAAGTGAAGCGAAACGTTGCTTCTCACTGTCCTGGCTACAGTCCGTTTCCCATTAGCTTAGTCTCTCTAGTGCTTGGAGCTTTAGAGGCTGCTTTCTGCATGGTCTGGAGGAGACCAAAAAATTCGGGTGCCTGGCGTGCTGTGTGCCTGATGTTTCTGTGGGAGAAGGGCTAAGTGAAGAAGCGTAGGTGGGGTGTGGGAGATGGAGGGCTGGAATGCGGGCTGGCTTCCTTGCTCTCAGGTCAATGAGAGGGGTGCTTCTGGTGGCAGTGCGCTGAGTAGGCAGCGCTCTTGGGCACGGCCGTGGAGGGTTGCTTGGGAGTCTGTGAGGTCTTAGCTTTCCTTCTCTTGCCTGTGTTGAATGAGAAAGCAGATAGGTCAGAGGGCTGCTTGTTCCCCCTTTCTATGTTACATGTTTTTTCATGCTAAGTAAGACAAACAAACACTTCTAACATTGCCGTGTCTGTCTGTGCTGCGGTTTCCCTGAGGAGTACCATCTGCCAAAGGCTGAAGACAGCTGGGTGCCTGAGCGGTTAGGTAGCTTGGACTAGAAGTGCTCACGATGTGGTTTATAGGCTAAAAACATGTCTAGTTTACATCATAAATATTTCCCTGTCTGTAGTGTTTTACCCTTGTTCTGGACACTGTGTGCCATCTTCTGGATAGCCTGGATAACACAAATGTTTGTTGGTACTGCACGTGAATTAGCTCTCACAGTGCGGCAGGTAGGTTCAGTGGAAGTGCAGCTTAGTACAATCCTATGTGTCACTTCTTGCATATGGTCACATTTGAACGGTGGCTAAAACCAAGCTTATAAACAGCAACTGTAAAGTGTTTGTGACGTGTCTTACAGTTCGGCTGCACTCACAAATGAAGGGGAAGTTTTAAGCTGTGGGCACAAATTCCTTGGCTTCTCTTTACTGTTTTCCTGCTCACATGGGCTTTGATTTTTCTTGCGTAAGACTGAGGGTTTGGAGGTTTTCTTGTACAGTTTGTTTGGTTTTTTTAGAATTTCTTGTTGAGGGTTTCTTACTCAGGTGTTGTGGTTTACTTGTTAATTTTGTGGGACTCAGCATTTATCAGTCAGGATTTACAGTTTATACATTTACTGCTCAGGGCATAGGTTTTAAAATTTAACCTCAGCCATAAGTTGTAAAGCCCCAG